CACCCTGCATAGACTCAAGACATCCTTCAGAAAATGCCAGCTCCTCCACTATCTATCCTTTCCCACTGTCTACCTCCTTCCACTACTTCCCTTGCTTCAGTAGTGAGAGGGATAAATTTAAGATGACCCACCAATAATTAGATTCTATACATAGAAAATTACAATAAATTTATATTTTTTCCATATATGGAATCAAATTATTTATTGCACAATCATATTTGATTCAGTCATCTTGGATATGGGTAAATAAGTGGTCTCATTTTAAAAGATGCACCTGGCAGGCCCTTTTATTAAATTAGTAGGAGTTACTTGGTGTATCTTTGATAATCAGAACACTTAGGCCAGAAGACATTTCAGGGCACTGACATGCAGCTGCCTGCTGTAACTCATGGCGCTTCATAGAAAGTGCCAAGAGTTAGAGCAACCCCTGTGCCACCCCCTGCCCCCCCCCACACACACATACACACATATATACTTAACCTGACAGACATTCAATGTTGGGTTCGAGGAGGTGGGGGATTGAGGGTTTGCAAAATTTCTGAGATAAGATGCTCTGTACTGGGGTTGTACACTATCTGGACTCAGATCAGGGGCTAGGCATGCACAGGTGCCCTGGGACCTTGGTACGTCAGCTGGGCAGGTCTGGACCTAGGTAGCATTGACCAAACTTCCTGTCTCTGCTTGCTTCCCTGGGGCAGGTGGGCTGCTGGGTGCTGGCCATAGGCAGCCTGCCTTCTCCACCCAGTTTCCATGGCTTCCCACCTGCTGCCATGGCTCCAGATCCCACTGTCCCGACTTCTCCTCCTGAAGGCCAGCCACTGTCCTGTGCTGCTGTCAAGCCCATGCTTCCTGAGCTCAGGGGGTGTGGAACTCTTGGATGACTGGGACGTGGAGCTTGCTGTGCCCCCACCCTCCCTGTAGGGGGCCTCTCTGGAGAGGCACCCCAGGGCCAGCACTCCCCAAAGATGGCACTGTGTCCAATCGTGCTCCTGCTGCACACATCACAGGCAGTGCACAAGAAACTGTTTGCATGGATTGAGGGGTGCCCAACCCACTACACCCTGCTACTGATTGCCATGGTGCCCTGGTCACACCTGCACACCTGGCACAGGATACTTAGCTTTGATGGTGTGGGGGGCAAGCCTGGGCTGCCCCACAGCCTCTGCCACCACCTGGAGGGCTACCTGTAGCTGCATTACACTGAGAAGGATATCTCTGCCACCTTTGATGTGTTCCTCAGCGTATGAGAGGCCCATGCAAGGTTCCCTCCAAGCTGCACGTATGCATGGCTGCTCACAATTTAATATCCTTCTGCATACTAACTTACTAACACCACACACCCACCTGGAGAGAAGCTGGGCTGCAGTGCAGCAAGGCGAGGCGGGGGCTGGGTCTGGGGGCTGGCACTAGCTCTGCCGGCACCAGGGAACTGCTCTGCTCCCCAGCCCTGAGGCGAGGTGCCTCTCACTCCCAGAGGCAAGGCGGGGGTGGGCACTGGGGCTGGGGCTGCAATGGGAACTGCTCCACTCCCCAGCCCTGAGTCCATGTGCCTCCTCACTCCTGGAGCAGGGACACGTGCAGAGCTTGGCTTCCCCGGATATCAGATTAAATGCTGCAGGCAGCAGTGGCTCAAGGCAGCCAAGAGTGCAACCTGACAGCATGGTCACTCCTCTTCATATTGCTTTCCCAGCAACAGTGTTTACACAGCCCGATGCACCATGGTCAGATTTACTTTGGTTACCTGCAGCAGGGAAAGGTGCACGGGACAGAGCAGGATGGTGCAGAAGCTGGGTCTGCATTAGAGGAAAAGGAACAGATGCAAGGAATCATTCCTAACCATGATGTAGGTTGGGGGTGCTGGTTACAGCTGTGTTGATCTAAGGACATAGGCAGACAAGGTGCTTTGGGTAAAGTATATCACATTTACCCAGAGCACTTTGTCTAACCATGACACAAGTTTTCTGCATCATGAATGGGGAGTCCTCATTACCGGCTCCAGAAAACTGCTCTCCTCCCCAGCCCCCAGTCTTGTGCTTGGAGGATTATTGCAAAATCCACTGCATGAGGATCCATTACATGAGGATTCTAGTCTATTAGGCTTAGCATAGTCCAGATCCAGGCTTAGCTAAAGGAGGAGACAGAACTGAAGCTCATGGATTGCTTCACCTTAGAGGGAACATTGGGCCCGTGCCTGCATAGCTGCAGGGGCACAAGCTGCTCAA